TAGGGAGTGCTGTCATGTAGGAGTGGGTTTGTACAGGTCATAGCGTAATGATTCTTTATCGAGGAAATCTCTTTGCTCTACCTTGAAAGAAGATTTCTTTTGCTAGTTATGCAATATGATTTTCTGCATCATGTACCAAATTAGTTATGTGCTTCCCATGATATCAATAAACATTTATTTCCTCGATCCATTTCTTGCAGTATGGAGTTTCTGTCTAGATCTACTGCAGGGGATGGTCCTTTAGTTGCATTTGGTGGATCAGATGGTGTCATCAGGGTTCTTTCAATGATAACATGGAAGGTTTGCATTTTCTGAAGTTGTTGTTTCCTGTGATACTATCCTTGTTATTGTTATGCGGTTAACCATTGTTCTTCCAGCTTGTACGAAGATACACTGGAGGCCATAAAGGATCAATATCTTGCTTGATGACCTTTCTTGCTTCTTCTGGCGAGGTAGTTCTTTATTTGCAAAAAGATCGTTTTCCTTTAACATGTTTATTTCTTTTGGCTAACTTAGCACAGTGGTTCTTATGAAAACACTCACTTTTACTGATTGAAGTAAAAGTGAAGAGAGAAAGAACTCAGAGAATCTAATGTGGTTCCCGAACTGCTAGTTTTAGTATCACATGCAACATTTTTAGTAATGAAGTGTTGAATCTTACAAGTAAAGTTTTTTCCTTTGGATGTAGGACAAAAATAACTTTAACACAAAAGTTATTGAGAATTGATATTGGAGATCTTGAATCTCAATAGTTAAATCAATAACTCAATATTTATATAATGATTATATGAATAGTTCATGAATTAACTAACTTGAGTACCTTATTTTTAGGCACAAAGATATAATTAAAATAGGAAATTTTAAGTTAATCTCGAAAATGTCTTGAATAGAAAGATAAGCTAATTAACAAAGTCAATCTAGAAAATTTCCTGAATGGGAAAATAAACTAATTAATTAAATATTATAATAGTACCAGAAACTATACTAGAAAAGGAAATTAAATCTTCATGTTCTATTTAATGTAAAACTTCCCAAAATGTTTGTTTTCTTTTACTGTTTCTGTATCATTCTCTCCCATTAAAAAGTTCTTGGCTAAGGCATTGCAGATTAAAAATATTGGTCCAAGAAATATGGATCAAATTTGCGAAAAGATCCTAGGGATTTCAAGAAGCATCAGAATCCATCAAATTGTTAGGGAATGAAATGTGCCATTTTTAAAAATCTTTAGGGAAGCATCGGTTGCTCTATTATAGGGAATGAAATATGCCAGTTTTCTATCAGCAACAAACAAAACATAGTCATTTACTGGGAAATCTTAAAGCAATCCAAAAATAGAATTCATAGTTATATCTTCTCTGGGTTTATGGAGAACAAGTAAAGGGGTATAAAGTCGGGCTTTTTTCTTTTTTTAGCTTTCCCTGACTGACAAGTATAATATTGAGATACCACTCCAGAAATGTCTCGCTTCAAGGAAGCCCGATAAAGCCTATCTTCCAAAAGAGCAGTGGTCTTATCACATCCTAAGTGACTTTTGAGACCCCTAATAGCATTTACCACTCTAAAAAGTTCCTGATGGAAGTACGTGGGATACATAGTTGCATAATTAGAAAAAGATAATTGTCATGTATAACTAAATCAACATGATTCTGACGATTACTCTCCTTAATCCTCTAATAAATTGACCTAAAATATGAATGAGTAGTGTACTCATCTTTCAATCTATCAAAACCTATTACATATGTGCTCATGCTTTGGAGAAAGATGAAAACTTGGTGAATGGCATCTGCTATCGTATTTAGAGCACCAGAGTGATGCATTGATTTTAATATTTTTCACGAACCTAATATTGTAAGTGATGAGAAGACAAATTAAAATGGATATGTTGAATTATGAACTCAACTTTATTACTCTCATGCCCAAAAAAGACAAATCAAAAAGTGTATTAGACTACCGTCCTATTAGTTTGGTGATTAGTGTCTGCAAGATAATTACTAAGTTGTCATTATGGTTTAATGAGGACTTAGATGACACAGTTTCACCAAACCAAGGTGCCTCCATGGGAGGTGGGCAAATCTTGGATGCGTTCCTTATAGCTAATGCAGTGGTAGAATATATGCACGTCATAGCCTATTTTCCAAGGCATTATGGCAAGTCAAGGTTTCCTCTAAAGTGATGGTGTTCACTTGGACCATATCTTGAATTGGTTAAACACCAATGAACTATTGCAAGTATGTTGGTATAATTGAGTTTTCTCTCTAGACATGTGTGGTGTGTTGTTTTTTTTTTTTTTTTGAAATAAAAGTATGAAACTGTATTAATGTAAAGGTACCAAAGGAGCACCACCCAATTACAAAATATTTACAAATCGATTAAACAATTGACTATTGAGTCGAGATCATCAAAGCACTCAATGTTATGTTCTAAACTAGTGAACCCAAAGTAGTAAAACCAGTTGTCAGTGATGATTCTGAAGTCGACTTCTTTTCCTTCAAAAATACGATTGTTTATTTTTTTCAAAATGACCAAAAAAATAATGAGAGGGACGAGTCTAAAAGTTTTTTTGTGAATCCTTCTCATGCAAGTAGCTTATCCAAAATTGATTCATGTTTGACTCAAGATAATCCCACGAGGTCTAGAATGGTAGACCAGAGGTTGTGAGAGACGGGACATTCCAGGAGTAAGTGATTACACGTATCAATGCTGGCAGAGAAAACATCTATTGACAATTGTGAAGTCTCTTTTTATTAAATTATCAAGTGTACGAATGCGACCCTTTGCTGCTTCCCATGCAAAAAAGGAAATTCTTGAAGTGACACCCGATTTCCAAATAATATTAGCTGGAAATTTCGTTTGATTGTGAGAATTATTGTCGGCCAAAGTCTTATAGAGGGTTTAACTGAGAAATTTTCAGATTTGGTGTGTTGCCAGAGGAGTTTGTCGTGCTGTCAGTTAGGTGGATGTGTGACAGAGTCTGGAGCAAATGTTCATATTTTTCAAATTTTCAATCCTACAAGTTTCTAGACACTATCACTTGCCATTGATTTAATTCGATAACATCTTTTACTAACATGTTTTTGTTTCTAGCAATCGCATAAATGAGTGGAAATCTTGATCAGAATGCTTCTCTATCGTGCCAAATGTTTTTCAGAAAATAGATTTTAGTGCCATTGCTAATGTTCTACCTAGAATTATGAAGAATAGGTTGTTTAGATTCCAAATACCTCTCCGTAGGCTAGAACCATAGTTGCTATTTTTTATCTTGGAGTTATTATTGCGGTTACCATTGAACCATTTACTCATAATGATTGATTTCCAAAGACTGTTGTTTTCATTCCAAAATCTCCATATCCATTTTCCAAGTAGAGTTTTATTGAGTTTGTCAATAGATCTCAACTCCAATCCTCCTTCATTGAAGGGTTTCTTGATTTATTTCCAATTCACTAGATGAAATTTTTTGTTATTGTTATCACCATCACCTCAAAAGAAATTGCATTGTATGACCTCTATTTTGTTGGCAACACTGCTCGGAATATTATGTACAGATAAGAGTAGATGGGAAGGTTTGAAAGTATGCTTTTAATGAATGTAAGTCTGCCTCCCTTGGATAAAAATCTCATCTTCCAGTTTGCAAGACGATTGTGGAACATGTTAATAATTGGGTTCAAACAACTTTTGTCTTTGAATTTAGCACCTAAAGGAGCACCAAGATAAGTAATGGGGAGATGAGATAATTTACAGCCCAAAAAACGGGCAAGTATATCACCCGAGGAGTTGCCCAAAACCACAAACTCTGATTTGTGAAGGTTTATTTTCAGTTCTGAAACCGCCTGGAAGCAGAGCAAGACACATTGCAAGAAGATTGAGGAGCAGATTTCAGGTTGACAGAAAATGTGTGTATCATCTTTTCTTAAGATAAAAGTGTGGTGTGTTGTAAAGGAGGGAAAACCTACAGCCACCTATTTCTTCTATGTGAGGTGGCATGTATGTTATGTACAAAATTATCTAACATATTCAACTTACCTTGGATAACACGTCCCTCATTAGAATGTTTTATATGTTCCCAAGTAGGAGGTGCAGGGGTGTGGAAGAAAGCACAATCCTCATGGCAAGGAGCGTTATTCGCAGGCCTATGGACAATTTGGTTTGAAAAGAACTATCAAACTTTTGATACTTGTTGTTCCCAGTTGATATTTTATGGGAGAAGATGATTTTTTTTTGACTTCCTTATGAGAAAAAGAACATGGAAGATTCTCTAATATTTTCTCATTGTCCTTCACTGGAATTGGGAAGAATAATCACGTGATCGCCCATGGTTCTATTTTGCCCTATGCGCTGTTATATATTTATTTTTGTTTTAACTAGTTTCCCTTTCAGTTGGATATCTTTTGCTGTTATTGTATTGATTCCTTTCTTTCTTAGTAAAATTTCTTATTCCATTAAATGAAAAGTATTGGTAATCCTTTTGTGGCATTATCTAGTTTTATCTTGAAGATACTGTTTAAGACAAAAATTACTAGATGCTGGGTGTTCCTGTTTCTATGTCTGTTACTTTTGCTACCGAACTGATACATTACGTTAGATAAACACATGCCTACCTACTTGCTTGTTGAAGGACGAATATAACTGATTTCATGTTGCTTGTCTTGTTTTTCATTTTTTGTCTACTAAGCGTAAAAATTATATTGGTGGAATGTGTTTGCCTGCCTGATGTCTGTACATAGATGTACATATGTGTCTGTGTATATAGAAAAATATAAGTATTTGATTTCACTCTGCCATAGTACCTTCTGTAAGTTTTTTAATACTGTCTGTATTATTATGTCCTATACGCTTTGTTTGTACCACCTTGGTATCAATGTGAAATACATCTCTATCCTTTTATTTAAAAAAAAAAGTCCTATATGCTTTGTTTAAATTTGTTGCAGGCACTTCTTGTCTCAGGTGCTAGTGATGGCTTACTTGTGCTATGGAGTGCAGATCACGGGCAAGATTCACGAGAACTGGTGCCAAAGCTAAGCTTAAAGGTATTTGTCCCATTGGTGCCATTTTATATATTTTCCTCTTCCAACTAATAAATATTTTTTTAAGATAGAAGAAGACGATTTATTAGAGAAAGAGAATGAAAGAATACAAACAAGGATAATAAGGCATCCTTCGCTAAATAAGAAAACAAAAGACATGTTAAAAGTCTATGTGCTTCCTAGAGGTCTCTTGGATTGGCCTTTTGGAACTAGGCCCAAATCCACTTGAAAATTGTTCTTCGCTTTATGGGATGATTTAGGAAACCTTCCCTGTTAGAATTTAGTTTCCTGTTCCTTCTTAAAGTCAGGATGATCCTTGTAAACGTCATTCTCCAATAGGCGTTTCTTGGAAAATTTCTTGCGGACACCGATTGTTTTTTTAGTTACCCTTGCCTTGTAGGTAATTGTCCTGCGAGAATCCCGAATACTGCGAGTCTCCTATCTCTTGCGGGGTTTGTTCTTCGGGATTAATTTGGTCCTTCTCGGGATCACATCAAGGATCCTGCTGCCATATCCAACAGTGGGATTGGAAATTGATATTTACTAGTGAATCTATTTATAGCATGACTATCCATGCACATCCTTCAGGTTCCATCATTTTGGGGTTAAAATGGTTGGGATAGCAAGAGTGTATCTAACAAGATTAAGTATTCGTAACATGAAAACTGGTGAAAAGGTTGTACATTATAAGCATACCTTATTACATGAAATCTTCGAGTGATATTCAGTATTACACCATGCATGGCCCTGAAAATCTTCAACCCAACCATGAAAACTGGCGAAAAGGATGAATATTAAGTACTACCATGTTTTCCCCTGTTGTCCCCCCCTTTTCATGGTGTACCAGTTTTCATGCACATCCTCCAGGACTTAATTATTTAGGATTAAGTAACTAATTATCTAATTGCCCACATATAGTAAGATGGTCAGTACTTTTCATGGTTGTACATAATAAACATACTCCCTTGAAAAGATAGCTTTTATTCATGTTTGCCGTAATAAAACCCACATTGTCTCACCTGGCTTTGACTGCAAGGGGGAAGCCCATACATTTAGTAGGGAAGGAACCAACCTTGCATCCCAAAACCTGAACCATCTCAACACCATTAGCTCCTTCCTTTGATTGGGATAGCGTCCAATTTGTTATAATTCACCTTTAAGTCCGATATTTTGTGAAAACAAAGTAAAGCACTTCTTAGGTTCAGAAGAGTTTCTCTATTTGGTTTAACTCATTTTGCATTAATTGTGTCCTGTGTGTATATAAAAAATTGTGTGAAACTGGAGCTTGATATCTGGAGGAAAGGCTTTATAATCGGGGAAATTGTGCGGCTAATGGTTGGTTACCCAGTTATTCATCCTCCCAGAATCTCAAGCTAGACCCATCACCAACTTGAATGTGTGTATGGGGAAGAGAGGATAAATGTGCCAGATAACTTTCTATGAATTATGGTGAGAGACATACCTTTCAGCTAAGATATGCCAAACATTCCTTTTGTTTCCATGGATGCTTTTGATCACCCTATGCCACAGAGAGTCCGGTTCACTTGGGAATTGCTAGAACCATTTAGCTAATATAAAGTTTATTATTGTTATATATATTCAAGGGGAGGGGGTGATAGAGGCAGCAAAACCTCTGGGCAAGGAGTGATTTTCTCTAGATTATGGAGCTTATGACTCGGATGTGATAAGATTTTCAACAACCAATTTTCAAAAAGAAAAAAGATATTTGATAACCAATATACATCCTTTTGAGTTAAGGAAAAAGTAACTTTTTTGGCAACACGTGGGAACTACAGAGACATTATTCTTAGCGGTTTTTTATTTTCATCAGAAGTAGGAGAGCATTATTCTTAGCCCTTTTCTGGCCACATGCCTTTTCTTTGCATCTCTTTTGCATATATGATTGCCTTTTGGTATCTCTTTGAGGAGGATGACTCATTCTCCGCATTTTTAGTTCTTTTTCTTCCTATTACATAACAAATCTTCTTCTATCAATTTCACGCAACATGTCAACAAAATAAGTCCTCATTGCTGGATCTCAGAGTTGGATTAGATTTTATCCCTTCTATCTAAGTAGTTCTTGACCTTCACCACCACCCACTCTCTGACATGATTAATCAATTGGGCAAGCTCTTAACTTGGCCAGGTTCCTATTCTCAAGATCAGCCTCCTGGAGACGCCCCACATCCTCCAATCAGTCCATCTCATCAATTAGAGGCAACAGCTATTCTCTATGGTCAGTCACAGCACATTTTTCTCTTCTCCATATCTTTACCTCATCTTTAACATGAGTTAACCTGGAGAAGATTCTAAAGGTGGCAAAACTTACTGGGTTAATCTCTTCCTATCACCACTTGACGAGATCTTTGAAGCCCACCAATCTGTCCCTCTCTTGACAAGGGTTTAGATCAATAAGTTGAGACAGCAAGAGTTTACCGGGAATTTTTTCTTTGGCTTGCAATTTTGAACGTTTGCTTTCAATGTTCTCTTACCTCTTTGTTTATAGTATTCCTTCTTTTCCCTATATAAAAAGACTTCTTGCATAGCATTTTTTTTTGGCTTTCTGTTTCCCTCTAATTTATGCTGTTAAATCTGCAGGAGCAATTTTAACTTCCTTTGTTTTGTGATACCAATAGGCACATGATGGCGGGGTCGTAGCTGTTGAGCTTTCTAGAGTTATTGGTGGTGCTCCGCAACTGATTACTGTTGGTGCGGACAAGACGTTAGCTATATGGGATACCATATCTTTTAAGGTATTCTTTTTTTCTTTTGATAAATATTTTAAGGTATTCTGAAGTTATTTACTTATGAAAATACCTTTTTTTTAATGGTTTAGAGTTTTTTATTTAAGCTTTATTTTCTCTTTCTTTTTTTGTTTTTAATTTGGTTTTCCACTTCTGGCAATTTTTCTTAACAGGAGCTGCAACGAATTAAACCTGTTCCAAAACTTGCTTGCCATAGTGTGGCATCTTGGTGTCACCCACGAGCTCCAAATCTTGATATTCTAACTTGTGTTAAAGATTCCCATATATGGTATGCGTAATTTTGTTGCATTTGCTGTAAATTTTTGTTAGTCTCTTGTTTCGGATTTGTATGACAGTTTTCAACTTGGCTATTTAAAGGACTGCTTCGTGTTAAAATAACAAGTCAAGGCCGTGTTCCTGTTATGTAGTGTTTTTTTTTTTTTTTTTCCGTTTTTCTGCAATTAACAAGATAAAGTTTGTGATATTAGTTATAATGTGGGATATTGGAATTTTCTTCTAAACAATTTCCAGGGCTATTGAGCATCCCACTTATTCTGCTCTCACAAGGCCATTGTGTGAACTTACCTCATTGGTTCCTCCTCAAGTACTTGCACCAAGCAAGAAACTTAGGGTATGTAGCTGTTGCCTTGTTTATGTTGCTGCTAGACTAGTGGATGGTTAATTTGATTTTTCATGTAAATGGTGATGACATGTACGTATTTTGAATAAAAAATGTTTTGACATTTGAGTTCCTTAAGGATGTTCTTCTGCAAAAAAGTTCCTCAGGAGTGCTCTTAAAAACTCTTGGGTGTAGAATAAGCATGTAATCCATCCTAGGGTTTTCATTATTCTCTTTTAAATACAGATGGCACCAAATCTTGAAGATGAATATGTGAAATTATTATATCTTGTCTTGTGAATGATTAACTCCATCCTCAAGGGGGCAAACCCTCTGGCTCTGTTTTCTGGTTCCTTTGTAAATAAAATTTTGTCATCATGAAAAAGAAAAATGTCCCATGCACCCTAAGCCAAGAAAAGAATTATTTTTCCTCCACAAGATTAATCCCCCCTCCTTTAAGGTGGAAATCTATCTTTCAATCTTCATGTAATTTCCTTGTTTACCCCCTAGCCACCAAATTTTTGTTTGGATATATTCTTGTTCTCATGAAATTCGATTTGCAGGGTCTATTGTATGGGTTGCACATCCTTTGGCAACCTCACCTTGTTGCTACTGGAACCAATATAGGTATCATTCTTAGTGAGTTTGATCCAAGATCTCTTCCTGCTGTAACGCCACTGCCAACACCATCAGGAAGTCGGGAGCATTCTGCTGTCTATGTTATCGAAAGGGAATTGAAACTACTGAACTTTCACTTGTCTAACATGGCAAATCCATCTCTTGGAAGTAATGGCTCCATATCTGAAACAGGAAGGTTCAAGGGAGACTCAGTTGAGTCATTACACGTGAAGCAGGCCAAAAAGCACATAAGTACTCCAGTTCCTCATGATTCCTACTCGGTCCTTTCTATTAGCAGTTCTGGAAAGTAAGTTGCCTCGTCCGCTCCATCACTCTGATGCTAAAGTAAAAGCTTAATATACAAGCCTATGGGGCTTCAGTACTTAATAAATTAAATTTTCAATTTTTAACTCTAAACTTCCTAAACCATCTCAAAGTTAAGAATCTTCAGATCTGTTTAAACTGAAAACATAGATGTCAAGAGAATTTTTTCTATTTAAAAATATTAATTAAAAGAATAAAAATAAAAGCCTAAAGTTTGATTGATCATCATGTCACGCCAACACTCTAGTCTTTCTCTGGTTTGTTTTTCTTTTAGCAGTTGTGGAAGCTTTTCATGTACTCGCTTCTTGTGGTTGTTAGAGCTGGTATTATTTTGTTATGTCTTTTGGCTTTTTTTGCTGTCGTCTTGTCTTCCTGTGAGATAGTGCTTGAGGCTGTTATTCGTTTTTTGGGCCCATCTCTCTCTGGCTTGTTAGGATGTTTTGCTTTATGTTTTCTGTGGTTTGGTGGCTTCTTATGTTGGGATCATGTCTCTCTGGCTTGTTTAGGTCAAATTGTGCTTCAGTTTTACTTCTCTTGTCACCTGTGCACTTTTTGGTTTGCATTATCCTTGTTATGGTGGAGAGTAGGTGCAATAAGAGGGTAAAGTAAAAGCAAGAACAAGGAGAGAACTAATTGTGTTTGGCATTATTCCTTCATTAAGATAGATGAAAGCGATATGCCTATTTCCACCACTTGAAGGTCCTTTGTTTGGCAGGTAGGAAAATTCATGATGTGTCCCTTGTGACTAATGGAGTTGTTGGGGATTTGAGGAGGCAAAAGTGTCTATTTCCACCAGTCAAAGCAATACACCGATGTCCATCTACTCAGTCAATTCCTGTTACAAGTTATTGCCCATACTGATCCCACTACACACTAAATTGCCCCATTTATCTGCCTTAAGAGGGAAAGGAGGAGACAGTTTAGCGGGTAGCCTCCCAAATACATCTCTAATACAACTTTATTTCCCTTGGAAAACCAGAGAATCTGTTAGTTTGTCAGTTTGATATTTTCCATTTGAGAGACTGAGGAAGGAGTTTAAGGCTTTATTCATCGTGCTTTCTCTGTTGGATGGTAGGTTTTATGGTTGGTATGCTTTGGGTTCTTTTGTGGGCTAAGCAGAAAGGATCTAGAAATATTTTCTAGTGGGGGCATATTAAATAAAAAGAATCAAGATTATTTTTACTGTTTTTTTTGTTTGTTCATGCATGTCTACATATGGTCTTCAAGATATAGATCAACCATAAAATAGGAAAAGCACTTGATTACATTATTATAGTAAAAGCGTACATCAGTTAATTTTTATTCAACTTTTCTTTGTCACATAATGATTTACATATATAGTGTTTTTGCTATAGTATTTTTTTCCCCAAATTTTGTGACATATAGTAGAAAACTTAGTTAGATTTCAATGTGCTAAAATATTTTTTAATTGTAATGGAGACAACCAGCTAGATCCTGGGACTATAAGCCACATTGATTTTTTAGGCAATTGAACTTAAAAGCTACTCTATGCTAAGGCCTATCTAGCTTTCCGTTCCTCTTTCTCGTTTGCTTAGTTTTTTTTTTTTGGTTCTTCTTGTACTAGGATACCTTATACTTTTCTTTTTGTAATTTCTTATGGCTTTCCAATATATCAGTCTCATTTTTCTTCGTAATTCTTATGCCTTTCTTGATATTATTCGTTTAAGAAATTAAGACTGTGTATTGGACATGTTGACATTTAGTTGCATAGAATTAATTTAGAGTGTAACAATTGTGCTCTTGTAGCATGTCCTAGTTATAAATTTTTCTTGCTTCCCGTAGAATATTTTACTATTTAATATAGTCTGTTTATCCATCATATCTTGTCTCACTGCATATTCTTATGGCAGGTATCTTGCTATTGTTTGGCCGGACATTCCATACTTCTCAGTCTACAAGGTTAGCGATTGGTCCATTGTTGATTCAGGCAGTGCTAGGCTTTTGGCTTGGGATACATGCCGTGAAAGATTTGCAATATTGGAGTCTGCATTACCGCCTAGAATTCCTATAATCCCAAAAGGAGGTTCATCAAGGAAAGCGAAAGAAGCTGCTGCAGCTGCAGCTCAAGCTGCAGCAGCAGCTGCATCTGCAGCTTCTTCAGCTACTGTTCAAGTCCGTATCTTACTGGAAGATGGAACTTCAAACATACTAATGAGGTCTATAGGGGGCCGAAGTGAACCGGTAATTTCTTCATTTAGTAATTGGTATTCCTTAGTTTTGGTAAACTGGCATTGTTTCTGCTGTTATGAACAACATGTCTATTGTTAATGGCTACGGATATTTTTTATGCGGAACTTCCCTATATAATTGCCAACTGCAATCTCAAATGGATTATTTTAAAATTGGCTTCTTTAGAAAGACAGTCCTACAAATATATATATATATATATATATTATATACTTAGACCTTGTCAAAACTGGGTGTTCTCCATGATAGGTTGTCCACCATCAAATCTCCAAAGGTGGGGAAAATGCTGTCAGAGCCAAAGGTTCTTGGCAAAGACAAAATCCTAATTGTTTTAAAAATGGTTACATACTGTTAACTTCTGATTTAGTTTGTTAAACGACTGATTTTAAGAAACTCAATGCTATGGAATTTGTAGCAGTCTTCTCTCTCTCACTCATTCTGAAATATCAACCACAGATAATCTGACTATTATATATCCGACTCATGCATTGAGCTAATAGGTCAATTCTCGGTTAGTACAAGAAAAAGATAGCATATATGATCATTGCTTGTCTATCTGACTCGAGTCCAATTCATGACCATTTCGAATTAATATATTTTGCACAATTACTTCTAAAATATTAAGTTTTTTGATTTATGCTTTCTGATATAGTACATACGGAGTTGCATATAACGAAATGGTTTTCTTCGAATGTTAGCTACTTACACAAAATTCGTTGTCATTCTAATGTTTCTGGATGATAAATTGCACTAGTAATTTTATAAGCTCAAGCTATCAGTTAACTGTATTGGAGAGAATGCTGAAAGAACGTAGAATTTGAAGTAATAAAACATGAAGTTATTAGGTTCCTGCATAGAGCATGATGGTATCTCTAACTCCAAACTATTTCGTCTAGGTCATTGGTTTGCATGGGGGAGCACTGCTTGGTGTGGCCTATCGGACATCCCGTAGGATTAGTCCTGTTACTGCAACAGCAATCTCAACAATCCAGTCCATGCCAATATCGGGATTTGGAAGTAATGGTCTTTCTTCTTTTAGTACTTTTGATGATGGATTTTCTTCCAACAGATCAGCCGAGGCTGCACCTCAAAGCTTTCAACTGTACAGGTGAGAATGTATTTGCTTTGTTAACTTTCTGTTAGTGGGGACCAATATCTTGTTCATTGGCAACGTCTTGGTTTGACAGGCACAAGTGTGCTGGTTAAATTTATGAGCAGCCTCCATGCAAATTCTGATAGTTATGACCGATTATGAACCAACCTTTTAGGACCAGATTTGGTCAGATTAGCTGTAGAATATTTAGGGAGAAGAAGAAAGAACGGAAATATCAACAAAGGGCAACAAGATGGTAAAATTCGTTTACAAAATATCAATAACAGGTTGTACAATGTATCCTCTAGATACGAAACCTTTGTGTCTAGCTTTCACTCAACACTGAGGGAATGGCATATTAGAATTTTCACTTCAGCTGTAACCTTTCAGAGACCTTTGATATATTAGACCTATTGGACCTCTGGAACCAATTCATTTAATGCTCAGCTTGACAGTAGAACCTGGACCTTGGCACCCAATATCTAGCCTATTTTTCATTTGCAAGGTGTTTTGGAAAGTTCCGGTTACTTAAAAAGTAAAGGTGTTTTCATGTATCCACGTCCATAGGAAGTTCAACATATTTAGGTCTCCTATTTGAGGCAACTTTTAGCTTTTACTTTTGCGTTTCAGAAGTATTTTTGCAATTAAACGTATGAAACATATCACTAAATACCAAACCAAAATCTGTTTTTTTCTTCAAATAAAAAGTATGAAACATATCATTAAATACAAGTACCAAGGGGATGCAAACTCGTGTAAAATTATTTACATATCAGTAAGCATATTGATTTGTTCTTTCAAATTCTCTATGGAGTACAGTGGGTGACCCGTAACCAAAAAACATAGGGTCTGGAACCATCTCTTGCAAATCCTATCAATACCTTCTTCTATCTCATCAAATCCTCTTATATTTCTTTCTTCCTGCACATTCCAAAAGATTGCTATGGGAATAAGCTCCAAATATTTTTTCCAACCAGTAATACCTTTTCATGCCCATATCTCATCCCTTACAAAACCAATTATAATCCAGTTGAATCCCAAAATCCTTTATGCCATAAACCACAAACGGAGTACCAAAATAGAATATAGTCACAAGTCTCCTCCACCCTCTTGCATAAATAGCACTAATTTACCATGATCTTCCCCGTTATCCTTCCTTTACCAATGGTCTAAACACACCCATGACCTGCTTCCCTAGGGGTATTCACCTTCTAGATTTGCTTGAATGGAAAATTGTTCTCAATGGGCTCTTTTTCGGTCAAATATCTGTACAAAGACCCAATAGTGAAGTTCTCAGTTGCATTAAGGGTCCAAATTGGTTGGTCATAATTCTCGTTCAGCGAACTTGACGCCAATGAACTCAAGGGTGATTCATATTCGTTTATTTGCCAGTTATTGACAGTCTGCAAGACCTCCACATGCCACGCCCTACGTCCCCCTGTCGTCTCTAAATGACTCTTTAACAAAATGTTTTAATATCGCACAATAGCATAAATTTGCAAGGACTATCACTAAACGGTTATTCTTTAAGCCAAAAATCTGACCGAAATTCAATTTTCTCCCCATCTCCAATTTTCCCATTTAATAGATTCCTGAAATTCTTTCTGTCCTATGTAAATCTTTTTCCGCAGCCCTTTACCATGCGATCTAGCCAAAACTTTGGATTACCACTCTTTATCCACTGTACCAAACTTCGTTTCTATAACACTCCTCCATAGAAGGTCTCTTTCTTTCATAAAACGCCACATCTACTTCCCCTGAAGCGCCTAATTCATCTCAGTTATAGATTTCAAACCCAATCCTCCCTGACTCAATGGTCTTTTAATCACATTGCACGCCACCAAGTGGTATTTTCTTTTCTCCATCGAGTCACCTCAAAGTAATATGCATTGAATTGTTTCTGATGTCTTGGCAATACGCATTGGAATTGTTAAAAGGGACATGCAGTATACAAGAAAATTGGACAGTGTGCTTCTTATGAGGGTTAAGTGTCTACCTCTGGAGAGTAAATTCCTCTTTTACCTTGCTAGTCTTCACTTAAATCTTATGTCAATAGAATCCCACATCCTCATATCTCTGTAATTAGCACTCAAAGGCATACCCAAACAAAATATGCTTTTGATAGATTTAAACATAAAAGGTATAATTTATAGAAAATAGTTTTAGCTTTTAATAAAAATTTACACTTCAAATTTTCTAAATAAAAGAAAATTTCTTAATAAAAGAAGAAATATTATCAAAGGCGAGAAAGAAATGAGTACAAAAGTGGAGGGTAAACTATCCTCCTCAAAAATCAGTCAAGAACAAAAAGAAAAAATAGAAACAATCATACAATTATAACATCATGCGAGCTATGTATAGTAAATTCTCAATTCTAGTGGAGCGCAATGATTCAACTGTGAGGGAAGTGTTCATGTGCCTTTGCCCACAATCAATTATGGGAAATACCTAGATATTGCTCGTAGAGTTTTTAGTCATCACATTTAAGGATTGATTTTTTTTTTTAAAAAAGGAAGTATATTAAGTATAGACAACAAGGAGGTATCGCTTTTGTACAACATATTCACAAGTCAGTTAAAATGTCAAAAACTTTCTCAGAATCATTCTACCCATAAACATCATGCCCAAAATTAGAGACCCAAAAGTATACAGCCATTTATTTCTGATTTTGCCAATATCCCTCACACACTCCTCAAACACTCTATTGTTTCTCTCTTTCAATACTATCTAAAAAATAATTAAAGTTATAAACTTTACGATATTAAATTTCTTACGAATTCCACCCCAAGTCAATTCCATCCCTTAACCGATGCCGCAATTACCCAATTGATATCCAATAATGCCTATACCATGTGTCAATACTATAAGTAACCGGACACCAAAAGAGAAGTTGGTGTAAGCTTCAGCCGCATTTTTTACACAAATAACAGCCATTAACCAAGATATGCCCCGGTCAGGATATTAAGGGTAAAAAATGAAATAATAAAGAAGAGCAAAATAGTCTTTTGGGTGTTAACATTTAGGGTTAGGGTTTCCTTATCAATTTTGTAGACTAATCAGGTTCAGAACAGATGAGAGAGATCATCGTTGCCAAATCCGGACGAGGTCGTCGCTGCGCCAGATCCGGGCAATTCCGCTCTCTTCGCGGGTCATCTATATCATGTCCGCCTATAAATAAAATGTCCTCCTACGCATTGTAATCATCGGAAATCAATAATAAAATTATATTTCAATCTTCTTCTCCTCAATCGACTCTCCTTTCTCTCCCTTTTTCTTCTTCTTCTTCTTCAAACTCAGATCAGCACCATGACCAAGGTATCTGACAGCCCCCTTCTCACAAGCTTGTCAATTGTTAGAATGCATTCCCTGGCAGCCTCCCAAGCAAAGAAAAAAAAACAATTCTTGGGGAAGCCTTGACTTTCCAAATATGCCTAGCTGGAAACTTTAGATCTTCCCCATCTCTCTTGGTCAAATGCTCATAGAATGGCTTGGCAGTAAAAACACCATTTTTTTTTCTTTTTGCACACAGCCTTATCAATGGTATCACTCAGCTGAACATTAGAGAGTAATCGCAAGAATGTTATCTACTCAATCTCCCAATCGTTAAGGTTTCTATCCAAAGTCAGGTTCCAACCATTCCTACCCTCTTCCCCCTTGAACACCTCCTCCACCATCACATTCTTCTTAGCATTAAGAGCATAAATTCTTGGAAATTGATCCCCAAGGCTGCCCTTCCCAATCCAAGCATCATCCTAAGACTGAATGTTATTACCTTTCCCGAGTTTCCACTAAATGCATTCCATGAACTAGTTGCACCCCAAACTAACTTTTCTCAAAAGACTCAAACCATGAGGGTGTGCCCAAACTCTACTGTTTCCCCTCCCACTCAACACACACTTAACGATTGATTGAATCACACAATCAATTATGAGAATTTCTCAAAAGATTATTATTGAATACCTAGATGATTAGTAAGTGAAATTACGAAGTTATTTTGTAGTAATCTCTAAATGACTTTTCCTAATTAGAATTAAACTAGAAAATAGTAATATAATAGAAGTAAGAATACTAGTTCTAATACAAATAGAAAATGATACTAATAAAATAAACTTATAACTCTAATGAGATTCGTAGATAATAAAATAAAAATACTCCAACAATAAATAAAATCTTATCATGACTATGCGTCATCATATCATTTATTAATGGTTTTTTTTTTTGAAATAAAAATAAGACAGTATTATTAACAAAAGTACCAAGTAGGTAACCCATATACAAGTGATAACAAGTCCACCAAAATATCAAAGACAGCTCCAAAATCCTCGAGCTCTTTAATATCATGACTCAAAAGCATAGAACCAAAAGAGTGGATCCAATTATCTCTAATAGCAGTAACCTCTTTCTCAATACTCTCAAAAGCTCTCAAGTTTCTTTCCTTTCACACCACCTAAAAAATAGAAAGTGGAATTAACCGTAACAATTTGTTCTTTTTACACACCCCATCCCAAGCCCACAACTCCTCCCTCACACTCCCAGCCACCACCCAGTTTAACCCCAATAATTTGTAAACCATAGACCAAATGTCATAGGCAGCAGGGCACCACAGCAAAATATGATTACAAGTCTCCTCCTCTTTTTTGCACAAGAAGCATCTATTAATCACAATGTTCCTCCTCCTTCTAAGCATGTCAATGGTTAAAATTGACCCCCCGGCAGCTTCCCATGCAAAAAAAACCACTCTAGGTGGAACATTCGATCTCCAGATTTGTTTATGCGGAAAATAGCCAACCTCCTCAATCCCCTGACCAGTTAAATGCTTGTAGTAAGAGGACACCGAAAAAATTCCATCTTTGCTCAGTTTCCAAATTCTTTCATCCTTCCCATTCCC